AGCGAGCGGAAGTAGAAGGATGAGAAAAGAGGGGGGGGGGGCGCGAGCTATTTTCACGCGTCACAGAGATGGTAATTGAGTCGTGCCGCTCGAAAGATCGAGTCACCCTTCACTGACTGAGACACGAAAGAGATTCAGGGTGACACACATGCGCGTGACACATACGAGGTAAAAATGCCAATGCGAAAACCAGTTTTAGAGTTAAAAATCTTTCCCTAAATTTGAAAACAAACTCCTTTCGATCGAAAACACAACTTTCTTCTTCAAAGTTTTAATATTGCAAAGACGTAACGCAATCTTGAAACTCTAATTATCATATAAAATTATTTCATACTAAAATTGACTTTTAATCTAATTCTTTTTATATACAAAGCCTTCTTTAACTTTTATCGTATATTTTAAGAAGATATAAGAAAAATCATCTTTTTCAAATAATTTGAGAAATGACTTAACGATATTTTTTAATATGTAATACTATCGAGTATTCTCAATATTCGCGTACATACGACAGTTCTACGGCGATGATTTTCAATCTGCACTTTCCGTTTTGCCATTCGCTCCCACTTCCGATGCGGCCAATGCGCTTCCGATGCCGACGAACGAATGATATTTCCATGCGGTGAATCGCGCGGAATCTATTTTCGCGACGGAGTGACGTATTCGCGGCTGAGCCGCTCAATGACGGCGGAAGCCGGCGTGCGAGTAAAAGTAATCTATCATAGACGACGTGGCGTTCTGCTTCCAAGATATTCCGATGAGGGCGACAAACTTAGGATGCGTTATCCGAGCACAAAAATTAAAATTAGAACAAAACGTAATATTCTTCGTAAAGATTTTGAAAATTATTTTAAAAATTATTCGAAGACAAAGAAATAAACTTTAATATTTAATCAAATATTTTTTTATATATTTTAGAATTATAAAAAGATTTTAATATGTTTGATTCTTGGTTGTTGCTGCAAACAAAACCATGATGGAAACGAATACAATGAAAATAAATATTTTTTATCAAAGCCACCAAAAGAGATATCCTGTCAAATGTATCTTTCAGAAGTGTAATATTAATTTTCTCATTTTAAGAAATTCATAATAAAGATAAGCTAAAATTGTAAATAAAAAAGATTAAAGTATTTGATTATCATAAAGATAAAACTGTGTGTCAAAGTAAACACAGAGGTAAGTAAGGATACCTTTAGTCAAAAAATTATTGAAATAATTCTCTCTATTCTCTAATGCATAACATTTCACTTGTGCTTTCGTGCAAATTCTTTTCTTGAAAAGAAAAAAATTACTCGTAAGATAAATTAAAATGATAAATAAAGTAGGATAAAGCTGTTTTACACAACAACTAAATCTAATCGCCAGTTACAATCTACATGTGTAAAACACCTGACAACATTATGATATTTTCACAGCCCTTTAAAGTCGCTCACGAGCTGGAAGTAGCGAGTAGTTCGTTAAAGAGCTATGGGCCGTAAGTGTCAAGCCAAGGATTCGCCCGGAGAAATGGTTTTCACGTACGTCACGTCCTCGGAAATTCGCCGTCCAGGAAATCGCGAGGGCGAGAAACCGCCATGCACCGCGTACGCTTTGATGTCCTGGCGAACAACGTAAGCTCGCGGCACAAAGGCGAAAGCCCGGAGAGAAAGTCTCGGCTTCACAGAGGAAACACTTGCCGAAGAGGGCGTTCTCGCGCAGGAAATCGCCCAAAGATGAGAGAGAAACAGCTCTTGCCGTGGCACGCGGACCAGATATGAATTTCAGGTGCTGGCGGGAGTTACCCCGTGAATATTTCATCAGAATATTGTACGGGCATGTCGCTGTCAACTGGAAACATTAATTCAGATTACCCCGATCGAAACCCGATTTTAACCAGTATTATTAATGATTCATATTAGCATCGAATAATTACTATTAGTACGCTGAATTTGAGGTGTTAATCCCGCCGTGTAACGCGCACTAAAACGCGTAATATCGCTATCACGCGATCAATTTCGCAGAAATCTGAGTCGGAGA